CCAAAGCAAGAGTAATGATATATAAAACAACCCCAAAGTTCCAGGGTTGCCACAAGCTACACAATTGTGTATTTTGCTACACATTTTCTTCCATGATTGCACAGCTACACCACAATCAGCTGTGCTACACATTTTGAGAATTTACATATTACTTATAAAAAATAATACAAGAACAGTAAATTAGCTGACAAAAGCTGTTTTTTTTTTGCTTTTAAGTTATCTAAGTTACATTAAAAGAGGCCACAACTGAACTTTAAATTTTGAACTGACAAATATCATTTTCCGTCATCAGTGTTCAGGTGTTCAGTAAAATGTCAGACACTGGGTCATGAATCTAGGACCGTCTATTGGTCGAATCAAAAACTGTAAATAGACAAGATTGTTGAATTCCTTAAATAATACATAACACGTCCTTTGGCCAAATTTCACTGCCTCAATTACGTCACTGTAGTTCAGACACACTTCTACTCGTTGGCATACGTGAATAATATTCAATTTCTATTTCACTTCCTCTCATATCAGCAAGGACTGCAGTTTCTATGGACAAATTTGGCCGATTAAACAGTCCTGAATTGTTTACAGTTTTTATACAGATTTTTTTAACCGGTCTAATTTGTCCATAAAATCGTTAGTTTCGCGACATGAATTTTGACGTAATTGCAATATTTGTTGGCATGAGAGGAAATGAAATGGGAAATAAATATATTGACGTATACAAACGAGTGGAAGACTCCATTCGTTTTACCACCATGTTTTAAAATTTGGTGAACGTACGTCTTTTTCTTAGTCTTATTAGATAGTTTACTATTATTACATTTTATATATTACATATTAGATAGTTTACGATTATTACAATCAAAAATTTTCTTGTGGCAACCCTGCAGAGTTCCCATAAATAAAAGGAATACGACAGAGAGACGAGATATCCTCAAAGCTGTTTACAGCAATATTAGAAGAATCTTTTGTCAACTGGAGTGGGCCAACAAAGGAATAAAAATAGATGGAGAATATCTTAATCACTTAAGATTCGCTGATGACATAATCTTAATTGCCAATAATTGTCCTGAAGAACTTACAGTTGTAAAAAAAACTAAATACAGTCAGCAATAAAGTGGGTCACAAAATGAACTTAGCAAAAACTAAATGTAATGTACAACGAACTAGTGAAAAGAAAATATATAACTAATAAATAACACAAATCAACAATCATCAAGAATAAAAAATCAATAGAAGAATTAAGTTAGCATGGAGTACTTATAAAAGAAACTTAATCATATTCAAATCTAGAATGCCACTCTATCTAACGAAGAAAACATTCGACCAATGTGTACTACCAGTCTTCTATGCATGCGAAACCTGGACACTTAAAACGGACATCATAAGGAAACAGGCAGGTCGCTCAACGCTCAATGAAACGAAATATGCTGGGAATAACCAGAAGAGACCGTAAAAGAATAGAGTGGATACGACAAAAGACCCAGGTAATAGATGTCATCCACAGAGTCAAATCCCTCAAAGGGCAATGAGCAGGACACCTGACAAGAAGAACGGATAACAGATTGACCACAAAATTTACAGCATGGTACCCACGAGGTATTAAGAAACCTAGAAGAATAACGAACCTGAGATGGGACCACGATATTAGGAAATTAACAGGGATAACTTGGGCCCGCATAGCAAACAATAGACAACAATGGACCCATTACAAAGAGAGTATGTGAAGGAGGCTACAACATAATTGGAAATGGTTGAATAAGCTGAAAATGATGAGGATGATGAATAATTACCAAAGTAACGTAGATGAAAGAAAAAAGCTAGATATAAACGATCGAAGCAAAATCGAAAAATGCGATGGAATACTATTAAGCATTTACTACTATTAAGTGTGTATTATTTACTTTTTGAACTTTATAACATTTAGTATTGATTATTTCCCTCATCGTGAAATGGCCAATCAGCTAATCTAATTTTTCGAATAAATTTTGTTTAGATAAGTGATTAAATCCCAAGACCAGTTTAACCGCGATTATTTTTTCGACTTCCTTTTGGGTTTTCTTTTTGTCGTTTATCACCAATTCTGAGAGACTTTGGCAACAGTTCATTTAAAAACATTGATTTACAACTCATATGTATGACTTAATAACGATTTTAATCGGTGAAAACCCCTTATTCGATATTATTGTGAACAAATAAGTGGAGAAAAATACGTCAGAATTTGATATGTTGACATGCGAAACGGTCCTCGATGCATTTTTGGGATGCGTAGCCAATGTAGCAGAAGCACAAACATTGCTTACAAGACGTTATTTTGAAACGTCTTTAAATCATATCTTTAAATTTTATTTACCGCTGCTGTAGTGAAAATGAATTCACGGTTTAGTAATTAGTAATTAATAAAAATTATAGTTAATAAAATTCTTATACTTATTTGCTTCACCCTAAGTCAGTCGCTTCGTTCTAAGTCATTCAGGAAATAATCTAGACGTATATCACTCAACCTATAAATTTAATTGATTAAACTATCCAAATAATTTTTTGCATGATTTTGCTTTTTAAGGCTATAAGGCTATGGTGGAATTTTATTACATATTTTACATACTTTTCGCGTAAATTAAAAAAATTCCCTGTAGGGAAATATTGAGCTTCTATAATGTAACAAATATATGACCATTCAATTTTTTAGTAGCCACTAAATAATATTGAAAATAACGTATCTCTAGACTTCTTCTTCTTAAAGTGCCTTCTCCATTCAGTGAAGATCGGCAACAACCATGGCAAATTCCTCTCTATTTTTCGCTCTTCTCAGCAAAGTATGTGAGTCCAGGCCTGTCCAATCTCTGATGTTCTTCAGCCAGGAGCATTGCCGTCGTCCGGGTCCGCGCTTTCCCTCAATTTTACCCTCGATGATGAGCTGAAGGAATTCATACTTGCTATGTCTCATGATATGGCCCAAATAGGCTGCTTTCCTCTTTTTTATTATGTCGAGGAGTTCTCGGTCCTTGTTCATTTGGTTTAGAACTCGTTCATTCGAGACACGGTCAGTCCATGGTATTCTCAGCATTCTGCGATATACCCACATCTCAAATGCTTCCAACTTATTCATTGCGCTTACTTTGAGTGTCCACGACTCAACCCCGTAGAGAAGTGTGGAAAGTACGTAGCACTTGACGAAGTTGTCTTTTATATGGATGTTGAGACGTTTATCGCACAGTAGGTTCCGCAATTTTAGGAAGTTTGATCTAGCCATCTCAATTCGAGCTCTGATCTCAATGTCTGGGTTTAGGTCTTCACTAATCCAACTGCCCAAATATCTAAACTTTGAGACTCTTGCTATTGGTGTCCCACCTACGACTACCTCCGTTGCCTGTCTTGCATCTCTATTTATCACCATGACTTTTGTTTTGTTTGTATTTATCCTGAGACCCATTGAGTCGCCCACCGAGGACAGTCTATCAAGAAGTCTTTGCAGGCCCTCAGTGGTGTCTGCAATAACGACGGTATCATCAGCATATCTCATGTTGTTAATCAGCCTGCCATTCACTTTTATGCCGTCTTCTGATCCCTCAAGCGCATTTCGAAATATTAGTTCGGAGTACATATTGAAGAGCATAGGGCTCAATACGCATCCTTGCCTAACTCCACGCTTGATAGGTATTGCTGTTGTTTCAGTGTCCTGTAGTTTTACTGTCGCTACTTGTTGTTCGTATAGCTTTTGGATAATTTTCAGGTCTTGGGTATCCAGGCCTCTTCTTTCAAGGATGCTCAGCAATTCCCTGTGGTTGACGCAGTCGAATGCCTTCGTGTAGTCTATGAAGCATAGGTGTACCTCCTTTCGTTGATCTCTGCACTTCTGCAAAAGCACCGATAGCGCAAACAGGGCTTCTCTCGTCCCCAGTCCCTCGCGAAATCCCATTTGCTGTTCACTTATGTCTAGCTCACATTTTCTTCGGATTCGATTATGCAGAACCTTTAAAAACAGCTTTAGGACTTGACTCATCAGACTTATTAAACGAAACTCATCACATCTTTTTGCACCAGTTTTTTTAGGAATAGGTATAAATGTCGACCTTAGCCAGTCCTGCGGTATGTTTCCGGTATTGTATACAGAATTGAAGAGGTTTACCAATAACTTTAAATTGTCTCCGTTTGTTAGTATCTCTAGACTATCGACATCATAAGGACACTGCAGGTCGCACAACGCTCAATGCAATGAAATATGCTGGGAATAAGACCGTAAAGAATAGAGACCGTAAAGAAGAGACCGTAAAAGAATAGAGTGGATATGAAAAAGATCCAAGTAATAGATGTCATCCACAGATGTCATCCCTCAAATGGCAATAGGCTGGTCACCTGGCAAGAAGAACGGAGAACAGATGGACCACAAAAACTACAGCATGGTAACCATGAAAAATTAAGAGATCTACAAGAAGACCGGACTAGAGATGGGACCTGTGTCTCTCTTTACGTGTATCCCCCTTTACAGTTTCATACTGACTACTAATTATTAATCTTTCTTAAGTAATTTTTTTAATAATTTATATAGAGATTTGAACATATTCTAGTCGTATATTATTGAATTTTGCAATTATAGAATGAAAATATTGACAAGTAAGGTTGAAATAACTTAGGGATTATATTATTCCCCCGTCTGACACTGCTCCTTGGCAAAGTACCAATCGAATGATATTTAAACACTTAGATTGACTGACCCACTCTTTATATAGATCAATTGCATTGAAATTTTCTTTCTTATTGGTTGCAAAAAATTTCTTTCAGCTTTTGCCACCCAGGTAAACAACATATTTGTTTATTTATAGATTATGTTTATCGCGGATCATATTAATTATAGCAAATTTATTTTTATTCCAGAGTTGTTTTAAATCTCGCAGTAATTAAAGGATATTACTTACGAAACCTTCTTAAAATATCGTCAAGTATTTTTGTCCTCACTAACTCATAAAATGAGCATCGTGTTGTTTTTACGTTTTTTATTTTTTTAGGTGGCTACAATGAGTAATGGCATCACAAGATAGATCGACAACTGTAAGTTTTTTAAAATTTTCAGAATTTTTTTTTGAAATCTTTATTTTTGTGTGTGCTGTAGTTTTGAACATCACACTATCCCTACAATGTTTTTTTTCACAAAATTAAAAATACTTGTCTTGTTATAGAATCACACCGAAACACATCGAAATTCGTACATGAATATTCGAAAGAAATTTAAAGAATTCGAACGACTGTTACACCGACTCCGATCCAGTACCGATGTTTTTTACATTGAGACACCCTGTACGTAGGAATTGGTCAAAAAACTTTAACTTGCTTTGCTTCGCCTAGCTTATTTGTGTCAGATTTGCTTATTTTTATTGGCTTATAATTATGTTGACAAATATGCACTAAAATATATCTATAATAAAGCAAAACCTCACAATGCTTCTAATACTATGTAGCAATCATTTACAATTAAAAACAAAATACAGTGGCAACTAATAAGTTTCACCAAGCAGGCTTCCAGTTTTATTAGCCGTTCAAATTTTAATACAATACAATTTACTACAATTTTTTTTTCTATATCACACATCATACCTATTTTACATTTCTACGTAAATTCGGACTATTTTTTCAGAAGTCTAATTTTTTTAAAATTTAATAACGACTTTTATATACCGGGTGAAGCTTAAATAAGTGTAAATATTTTTAGGGGTAGTATATTTCGACCCCAGAAACACGATTATGAGTTTTTTTTGCGAACAAAAAATTTTGAAAATTTGGAATTTTTGGAAAAAAATGGATTTTTTTTAGTTTTTATTAAAAAACATAATTTCCTGATAATATAATAGGTAGGTAATAGATTAATTTTACAAGAAAGAAAATCCAGAAAAGGTCCAGGGATTCTCAAAATTTAAGCAAAAAATCGTTTTTCTTTTATTTTCACAGTAAAATAACTCTGTTATTTTGGACTTACAAATAACTTTTGTTGCACATCATAATACGACAACCAGCAAACTCCATAAGACGACGCATGGTGTCATTGATGACGTGCAACGAAAGTTGTTCCAATTTCCCTATATTGTATCGAGATCTACCAGCCCTGGAAATATTTGCACTTATTTAAGACTCACCCTGTATATTTCCATTTATTTAATGTACAATTATTTATATTTTTACTGATATGTTGATAAAATCTGTAAATAAATTTAACTATTTATACTACTAACATATTTATAGAGTGCTAAAGTTGTGAAGTTTTATAATTAAGTAAGGTCTTTAACAATGATTGAAGCATAATTCTTAGAGAAATTTCAAATTACTTAGAGTTTAACTGTCGATATTTAATGTTAGCTTGTTCATAATTTTTTTGGTCTATAGCTTTATGAAAAATTAATTATTTATTTAATTATATATTGGTATTGTAAAATACTGTATTTTGTGTATTATTTTGTTACTTATTAATTTTATATCAGTAAATTTTAATTAAGCATCTAGCTAAAATTTTTTCATGTGATCATAAAAAATAGTAACGTTTTAAAACTTTCAAAAATTAAAATCTAAAATTAAATCAAGTTATTGAAATTAATGTTAAAACATAGATTTAGTCAATTATCAGCTTTTAAACATTAAGCACATATTATATTTACATTACATTTATTAAAATCGAAACATATTATTATAAAGTAGCATTAAGCTGCCCTCACACCAGCACAATGCACATGTACATTGTTCATTGCATAAAAAATAAGCGACTACAACTCAGTGAGTCAACAAAGTGGTCGATACATAATCAATCAAAATTAAAAAGACATATACTATGAGAGGATAAAATATAATTTGCAATATTAATGATATACTTTTTTTAGTCAACTAGTGATTAAATGTTTTATGAACATCTTCTAAAATTATAATTATGTACCTTACTATTTACCAATTATGCCCCACTAGCAAAACCGGTGATTGAAACTATGCTCGTTACTCGTTGCCGTTGTACTTGTTAGTTGAACTCATCTAAAAGGTTTTTTTTAACTGGAATAATAAATTATAATACAAGTTAGACCTTCTGAAGATATCAAAATATTTACTTCTTATTTTTAGAATTTTCACAAATTATACTTCCTAACACTTTTAAAATAACTAAATAATAAAATTTTCGTACTCTCGCTATTTAAACCCGTGCATTTTAAATTTTAAATACGCGTTGTTTACGATATTCTCCGATGGTGAGCAGCACCGGAGAATGCACCAAGCCTATAGTAATACACATTGCATGACAAGCATGTATGCTGAATTCCTTTATAAATAATTATATTTTCCTATTTTTTAGACTCCCGGAGAAATTTTAATCGCATGGCAAGAATACAGAGCAAGCGGTAGCGACGAACTAGACTTAAAAGAGGGCGATGCGGTCGAGCTTCTGGATATTAATGATCCAGCTTCATCCGCAAAGTAAGTTAATTTATATTGTTTTTCTGTAGCTGATTATAATATAAATTTAACTGATACCAAAATTTACTGATTATTAAGCAAATTCACAGAAATGACGAAAAATTAACAAAACATAACAAGCTCAATAAACATATTTTAATAATCAGTAAAACTAAATATAAGATGAAACGGTCGGAAAAGAGCTAAATGGAAGCTTCAGTCTCAAGTTATATATTATAAAAATATATTGTATAAAACGAATTCGTTACCGATTTTTATACAAACCTGATTGTGTTTGCCTACTCTAGGTGCCGCATGATAGAAAAAAAAAACTGCGTCAGGGATGGCTATGAAATGAAAATCGCTGTCATGTAATATTATATAGGGAATGTAAACGATGTTCATTTTCAAGCCAACTGCACGCCTTTTTTTGTTATCATTTGGTATAATACGGTCAGGAACATGCAATGTAATTTATTTTGATGTATGTTTAAGGCATTGCTAGTCTGGTTTGGTCTAGTAATCTAGTCTTCTTTTTTTAGTAGGAACATCTAAAATTCAAGTAAAACATCTTACTCATGGACCTCTCATGTATATTATATATGTTACAGTAAAAGTTGAAAATCAGTGATTGTTAACAATTACTAGTAAAAGCTCACATTCACTGATTTGCTAAGCCTACGCCAGTAAAAGTTCAACATCTATTTTTAAAACCAACTTTTACTAGTGAATGTTAGCATTCCCTGGACGATAGCAGCGAGTTTGAAAGATTCAGTTCGCGCGGTTGCCACACGTTGTAAAATATGAAGATAAGTTGAATAATAGTCAATATAGGGTCGTTATTTTCTATAATTTCCAATAAATATACTAAACAAGTAAATGTGGATCAGCTTGAATATTGGGGTGATCCAATATTTTTAAAAAAAATATTTGTTCTAACTTCCACCAACATTATTCCTCTCCACACTCATCCTGTACTACAGAATAACTTTTACTGGCAACCTTTAGTAAATGTTACTTTCACTAGTGAATGTTAGCAGTTACTAGGAAAAGTCAACAAATCTTTTTAAAATATCACATTCACTAGTCCAATGCGTAATTGCTAGCTTTTCCTAGTGAATGTTAACAATCAACGAATTTCCGACTTTCACTGTAACATATACAATAAATTAAAATGTCCGTAAAACTACAATAGAGTCGATAGCTATAGCCGATATTCAATAGAGTCTACTCTATTATTTAAAATATGTAAAATAGCATCTTATTTCCGCTAAATTTATATCTCCAAAAACAGCAGCTTTCAGTACTTTTTCCATTTTTCATAAGTAAAGAGAATGTTGGACAAGAAATCAAGGATAAGCCGGAAATTATCCCTCAAATACTGTATTTATTACGTTGTCGTATTTACCTAACGTTACAGGCACGAGAACTTTCTATTTACATTTTTTAATACGGTATCATGAGCTTGCTGGCACAACAACTAAAACTGTTATTTCGGTCTTTCCGATATTGCGGTTCATCGGGTCTTCCGGTCTTTCGGTCCATCCGGTCCAACTGCTCTTCCGGTCCAGTATCGGTCCCACCGATCTAATTGTTGGAACCGGTATACCGGTTTTAGGATCGGTACTTCGTGGAACCGGATACCGGTACTGGAATCTTACGACCGAACATCCCTATATTGGACTGGGTAGGGGACTATTCCATTTTTACTCCATGCAAAAATAAATTACAACCTTCTTTAGGCCAACTGGCAGTAAGTGCCATTAAAAAATAATGAAGAGTATGGGCCAAGTAAATACGTTTAGGACTTGACCTCGCCAAAATTATTCTCGATCGTCATTCACCAGTCGTCTTTCACATCGTTTTTTTTTCAATCGTATAGTATAAGAATATATAAATAAAGATTTTACATTTTTGTAATAAGATTGTATCACAAAATTCTGAAGTGAATTTTATATATTATTTAAATCTCGATTAAAATTCTTGACAATATACATATATAACGAATGTATTTTAACTTGATTTCAGGCGGATGAAGTTGGATCCTGAATTAGATACAGTTTCTGGCGAACTTCTGGATAGTGCAGCTGCTCGTCACAAGCTTTCTGTGAGACCGCGACGCACTCATGCCAGCTCAAGACATTCCCCTACTAGGTTAAATGTTAATGCTAGGTATATAACATATAGTCAATTAATTACGCCAATTCAAGATATATTTCTATACAGGGTGAGTCTTAAATAAGTGCCAAATAATTTAGGGGTAGTATACGTCTATACGTCTTATGCGTCTCAAAAGTGGCTCATCCCTATAACTTTTTTATTTTTTCAGATAAAAAAACGAGATTTTGTATGTTAGTATAAGACATAAATTGGGATTGATTTGAGGTATTCAATTGGTTTTGGTCACACTCCTGTTTCACCGGAAATGACTACAACTTTTAATTTTTAAATGGTACCCCCGGTATATTTTTACTTTATTCGATAGAAAATGATATTCTGAATAGAATGACGTATCATATGTCAACTTTTGAAATTCTCGCTTAATAAAAAATTGTATTTTAAATTTCAATCTAAAGTGCCATGGCTATGTTAAAAACACTAATTCTTAATCAAGGAGCCTGGTTAAAAATGCCCAAATCGTACTTTTAATCATATCTCAATTTTTTCAAACGGAACGAGGGTGGCTCATTAGCATATTTGGAAAAAGCATTTTTAAGTTATAATTTCAAATGAACCATATGCGAAAATGTGAAAAGTTGACATATGTCATACTATTCAGAGTGTTATTTTCTATCGAATAAAGTAAAAAAATATTTTGGGCGCAATTTAAAAATCAAAAGTTGTAGTCATTTCCGGTGAAACAGGACGTGGCCAAAAACAATTGAATACGTCAATCAGTCCTAATTTTTATGTCATATACTAACACACCAAATCTCGTTTTTTTAACTAAAAAAATAAAAAAAGTTATATGGGTAAGCCACTTTTGAGGTGCACCCGGTATATCGACCCCTGAATCGTGATTCGATGATGAGGTTTTTATCGCGAAAAAATTGAAAATTTGGAATTTTTTGAAAAAAAATTTCGAAATTTTTTTAGTTTTTAGTTAAAAGCCATAATTTCTTGATAATAAGGCAACATAGATAATAGATTAAATTTACAAGAAAGTGAACCCAAAAAAGATCCAACGGTTCTCAAAATTTAAACAAAAAATAATTTTTTTGTAACTTCAAAATAATATAACTCGGTTATTTTGGACGTACTTGAAGAAATAACGGTAAAGAGAAAATATGTTTCTCCCTTTTGGGAATCTCCCAGTCCTATAAATTTTTGTACTTATTTAAGACTCACCCTGTATATGTTATGCAAGTTTCAAATTTAGTTAAAAAACTAAAATTTTTATTATATTATATTAGGACACCCTGTATATTACAGGGTGTCCTAATATTCCGTGGAAAATCAAAATAAGTTTTTTGGACACAAAATATAGAAGTTCTTTGTTTATCCCGATAGAGGCCATCATATTCCCAATTTTCGCCATCTGGATTATTATCGCCTTCTCAATTATAACGCCTTCATGAGATCAGAAATATATGTTCAGTAGGTCAACGTCAAAAGAATATTTTGTTTTCTCAAAAAAACTATGTGTTTTTTTACGAAAAAAAAAACAGTCGTCTTTGGAGTTGTAAAATGTTCCTGCTATAATATAGTGGAGGTGAGGGAAGTTTTCACCTTTCTCGTATCCAGTGTGAGAATCAAATGTTAAAGACCTTAGCAAAACACAGACACCTCAATACTCATTTTAATCGGAATATCAGTCTGAACTTAAGATATCTCAAAAAATGTATTTATTTTTATAAAATGTCATGCCCTCTGCAGGATAAACGAAGCACTTTTGTATAGTGGTAAATTGTGTTAAACTTTTATTCCAAAAATACGTAGTAGCTTTATATCCACGTGATATGGGGATACCCTGTATTACGACAGTACATTAAAATACTTTTTGAGTTATAATTTGTTTGTATAAAAGTTAATCTGTTATTGATTTTGTTATCAGCTGACTCTGCATAATTTTACAGAACATGATAGTATTATTATAATTAATATTTTAGTTAATGAGAAATTCATTAAAAAAAATTTAATCTCGCTCTGTATAGAGAACAAAATATAATTATATATTTTATATAACACTAAAAGTTACCTTTTTACTCTAGATGGCTAGTCAGACAAGTAAAAGGTGACAAAAAACAGGGATGGGTACCATGTAGATATTTACAAACAGCTGATGACCCAACGTTTGGTACAAAAGGTTTACCTGGAGATGCAGCTTTCAGAAGACAGTAAGTATATTTGATAAGTGTTCTTCGCATGATCTATTCAACAGTAATTGCTTTGAATCATATTCAAACATAACAGTATATACCGGGTGCGTGGGTGGCTCACCCCTATAACTTTTTTTAATTTTTTAGATAAAACAACGAGATTTGGTAAGTTAGTATATGACATAAATTAGGATTGATTGACATATTCAATTGTTTTCGGTCACTTCCGGTTTCACCGGAAGTGACTACAACTTTTAATTTTTAAATGGCATCCTCGGTATTTTTTTACTTTATTCGATAGAAAACAACAATGTGAATAAAATGACATTTGCTTTTCCAAATATGCTAATGAGCCACCCTTGTTTCATTTGAAAAAAATGAGATTTGATTAAAAATACGATTTGGGCATTTTTTAACCGGCCAGGACAAGACACTAAAAACATTAGACGATCAAATCAAATTTTTCCAAAGCTCCTTGATTAAGAATTGGTGTTTTTAACATAGCCATGGCACTTTAGATTGAAATTTAAAATACGATTTTTTATTAAGCGAGAATGTCAAAAGTTGACATATGATATGTCATTCTATTCTGAATGTCATTTTCTATCAAATAAATAAAAAAAATACCGAGGGTGCCATATTGAAATCAAAAGGTGTAGTCATTTTCGGTGAAACAGAAAGTGACCGAAAACAATTGAATACGTCAATCAATCCTAATTTATGTCATATTCTAACATACTAAATCTAGTTGTTTTATCTAAAAAAATAAAAAAGTTGTCGGGGTACTTTTTAGACGCACCCGGTACCACTTTTTAGACGCACCCGGTAGATCCATGTTTGTCGTAAAAAAAATTAATTACAATAACTTACTACGTTAGTAAAATTGTCATTATTATGAACCATTATGAAGTAAACATAGAATTTGTTTAATTATATTATTAAATGGAAAAAATCAAATCACTTAAATAAATAACGACTTTCATTTTTAGAGCCGTTGTTAAAGAACTGGTGGAAACCGAACAAGAATTCGTAAGGGATTTAGATTACGTTGTGCAAAACTATTTAATCCCGTCGGAGTCTGGCAAGACTCCAAAGATCATTAAGGACAACTTCGATGTTCTTTTTGGTAACTTGAAGGAAATCGCCGAATTCCACAGAACGTAAGTAAACCCGTTTATAAACAGACAAACATAACTTGCTACTTTTTATGTAGCCAGCTTTGTTAAACTTATCAGTAACCAACCAATGGTTCTTAGTTCTAGTTATAGTGTCTATATTTACTAATAAGCGAGATCACTATTATTTGCCACCAAAATGGGGAATTTTTTATACCAAACCCAAATAAAGTATTTTTATTATGAATACTGTTAATTACAAAAATTGAGAATGGAACGCAGTATATTAGATGTTAAAGAAATGATAGACCACACCTTGCTTCCTTCTGCATGTAAACATATATAAGGTTAATAATATGTAGGCTCAGAATTTACAGCAGAGTATCTACAAAAGTGTGAATTTTTAAGTCAGTACAAAAATCCATATCTTTATTGCATCAAATTAATCATAAATTTACCTAAAATGCGACAAACTGTAGGTAAACGTTTCGAGACTTTGTAGGTAATAAAGAATTATGATTCCAAAAATAAACGGGCGAAGGAATACCCAACTATGTACTTCCTATTCCAACTGGCAAAGAAGTACGACAAGGAGACGCGATATCCCCAAAGCTGTTTACAGCAACATTAGAAGAAATATTCCGTCATCTGGACCGGACCCAGGATTAAAAATCGATGGAGAATATTATAATCATCTAAGATTCGCTGATAACATAGTTCTAATTGCCAATAGTCCTGAAGAACTACAAGCACAAATTAATGAACTAGCCAGCAATAAAGTGGGCTAAAATGAATTTAGCAAAAACTAAAGTAGTGTACAACGAACTAGTGAAAAAAGAGACTTTCTAATAAATAACACAACACTGGAAATAGTGGAAGAATATGATTAATTCAACCCAAATTTATATTGTATATATATTAAATATAAAAATATATTAAACAACCTTGCAATTAAAATTAACGTGTATAAACACGTTAATTTTAATTGCAAGGTTGTTTAATATATTTTTTCTACAAACGTCAGTAAAAATGTAATTTTTAACGCATGCTGTCGGTGCCTAAAATGTGACACTATGTCATTAGATTGGAAAGTGCACATAAGGACAATGTAAACACTATTTGGCGCTATTCTTGCACCGGTCGCGACCCAAAACTTTTGAAAATTTCGGAGCAGTTCGGCTTTTTTCGGAATTATATCGCCAAATATTGTTTATTCAAATTTATTATTATTTTCGTTTAATTTTATAAATAAAATACAGTGTGTTACATACAAGAAACTTTATTTTATATAAGGACGCATGTATGAAATACCTATGAAACATTGGAAACCGATGTTATGTGTGCGAACACAGTGCAAGCAGGTTTGCCGCTTTCTGGTAGCCAGCGCCAATCTGGGTACCTATTCTTGACATCGTTCGCAACTTTGCGTATACGCATCACATGTATTGTTATAAACAGGGTATCCCAGAAATAAGTGCAAGTATTTTAAAGGGTGGTAGATCTCGATAAAAGAAACATATTTTCTCTTTATCGTTTTTCAAATAAGTCCAAAATAACGGAGTTATTTTACTTTGAAAATTTCCAAAAAATGATTTTTTGCTAAAATTTTGAGAACCTTCTTCATGTGCCTTCTCCTCATCGGAGGTTGGCGACCATCAATTGAATTCCTCCCTGTCTTGAGCCAAACGGATAATTGCACTTGCCTCTCCTATATTAAACCACTGGCGCAAATTCCGCAAGCAGGAAAACCGTTTACGCCCGATGCCTCGTCGTCCTTCAGTCTTTCCCTCAACGATCAGCTGTAGGAAACTATATTTGTTATTTCGAAAAATATGACCAAAATATGCTGCTTTCCGTCGTTTTATTGTAGTCAATAGTTCTTGGTCCTTACATATTCTTTCCAATACTTCGAGATTTGTTTGAGAACCACTGGAGCTTTTCTGGATTTTCTTTCTTATAAATTTAATCTACTACCTATGTTGTCATATTATCAAGTAATTATTTTTTTAAATAAAAACTAAAAAAAATTGAAAAAAAATTCCAAAAATATTTTCAAAAAATTCCGAATTTTCAAAAAAAAATTATTTAGAAAAAAACCTCATAGGCGTGTTTCTGGGGTTGAACTATACTACCAGTTAAGTTAAAATACTTGCACGTATTTCTGGGACACCCTGTATATGGTTACATAGTAGCCCCGCGCCGCGCCGCCTCGCGCTTATGACCTTGAAAAATTAAAGCGTGTTATCAAATCGGCTAGTTCACAGTGAAAGCGGGTAGGAGACGTCAACCAGCGTTCATCGGCGTTCTCGCTTTTACCGGAACGAAAATTTATTTATTTCTGCTTTTGCAGGCGCCGACGGCGCACAGAGGATATTAAGAACTAAAAGTTGGCCAAAATTATGTTGTATGATTTTTTTGCTTTTTTGCTAGTAATATTAATTATTAGAGGAGAGGGTGCTAATATGGAACCTCATTTTGTTTTTCCTACAAAATATTTTTTCCTCTACTCTGAAACCCTTTCCACCTATCAAATAGGGCCATTCTGTGCAAAACCAAGCAATTGGATGAGGATGCTAGAACAAGAAAGTAATTTGTATATTATCGACGATATTTGAGCGACGATGGGTGTTATGACTATTTTCTTTAAGAATCTATTTAAATCAATGTTTTTTTGGCAGTGGCAAATATTGGCAAGATTTTTGTACATATTCCAAAGCTGGAGACTTGCATTGAACGGATACTAATTTCAATGCGGAATATTGCCGAATAGTCTTACACCTTATAAAAATGCCTCTGATTTTTTAAATATAAAACATTATAAAGAAATAGAATAGAAGGAAACGTTTCAAAAAAAAATATGGCATAAAACAGGACTTGCCAGCTGGCTCTGTATCCATCATGACAGTTATTATAAACAATTTGCAAAAAAGCACTACAAACAATTCCACTATTTTATAATCTTAGAAATATTCAGAATACACTCAAGATAATTCATACTTATAATTGAAATATATTATTTATTTGATAGTCAACTTACGACTTAAAAAAAAAGCTAATAAACGTGCTTACATTTAGTATTTATAGATTTGTATTCAGTTAAGATAAAAATGAAAATAAGAAAAATATCACTTTTGGCCAGGTTTATAGACCAAATACCCCTATATGTGCGGCCCCGGCGGCGTTTCAATATGGTTAGGTTAGGTTAGGTTAGTTAATCAGGTAAATTTCCTCTTAATTAGCTACTTCCGAACCCTGCTCGCATCTCCGAAAAAGCCATATAACAATACACGTGATGCATATACGCAAAGTTACGCATCACGTGTATTGTTATATGGCTTTTTCGGAGATGCGAGATGTGAGCGATATTTGAAGATGCGAGTGGTCAAGAATAGGTCCCCAGAGACGGCGCTGGCTGCCGGAAAGCAGAAACCTGCCTCCACTATGTTCGTACCCTATGCCACGATCCATGATGGTTATTGCAATTCACAGTTCACAGCATAGCTTTTTAAGTTTTTAATGCCACTTTTTCACAATTATCACCGGTTGGAGTAAATAAAACTTGAATTAAACTCACAAGATAGCAATAATTACTTTGAAAATGGACGCTATAAACACTTTTCGGAATTTCTTTAATGGGAGCGGTTTAGATTTTTAAAGATCATTATGATTTTTGAAGATTCTGACTTTGACAAGAGAAAATTATTTCTGTTTTTGTTTGCCGTTGTTCTTAGCGACCGCTATAGCAGCGCCAGATCGCGTATAACGGTCGCGACCCAAATTAATTTCGCGACCTAAAATTTTTACGGGCTTTCCAATCTAAACTTGTTGCATTTATCTATGCATTATGTCACTTATGGTAAAAGTCATTTACTTTTAGCACTGGTGCTAAAAGTAAGTCACGTGATTTACTTTTAATACTGAAGCGATAATTATTACCCCAGCAACCATAAACTTCATAATTATTTTGATTTCAGAATGACATATTATGAATTATTCATTAACGCAAAAAATATACCTAGCTAGAAAAAGAATGGCCTCTGCCATACTGAAAAATAGTCCTACAGAAGTGGCGCCATCTATTGAGTAGGGCTTGTTTTAAATAGATCGAAGCGCGGGCTTTTTAAATGAGCGTATTTATTGAATTTTGCTCTAAAATAATTAAATTTGATTATTAAATCTTATTTTTTACACAAATTTAACAATACTAATAACAAGTATCGTTGTGATGTGTAAAAAATAAGATTTAACAGTATAATTTATACAATTATTAAATAAAATTAAAGCCAAACATGTGTAAATATTATTTATTATTTAAAGTTTTTATTTATAAGTCAAATATTTTAACATCGTTTATTATAATAAAACAAAACCAACGTAATACGCCCAAAGTTTTGTAAATGGAGTAAATATAAATAGGTACTTAAATGATGGCAAAAATAAAAGACTTACATTATATTTTTAGGGCCACAAACAAAAAGAATGGTCTAATAAAACACATATAACAAATTATAGTTTGAAAAACGTTTTGATAATCATTTTTGATAATATTATGATTGGCGCTATGAAAACGACAATATTTTTTGAGAATTTGACAATAGTATGACAATGGCCGTTGGAAACTATGGAAACTACAAATAAAATCTGATTGAACGCCATCTGGCAGTAACTAGTAGCAATTTCTTAACCTAAAAATTAATTGCACTACCAACTAGCGCCCGAGGCTGGAACTGTTTTATTTGAAATTTCCGTGGAAACGGTGGAACCGCTTTTACTATTTCACTTTCCGGCCCCTGCATTAACGTAAAAAGTAATAATATATACGAACATAAACTTGTTTGTAGAAAAAATAGTGTATGATATGTGTGCTAAAAGTGATTTTATGTTGTGCGTCGTGTCCCAAGCTTCCCTTCTCACAAAATAAAATACCACTTTTAGCACTTATATCATAAATAACTATTATTATTAACTAAATCAAAAAAAAATATAATGGTGTACCAACAACCAACTTAAATAATTAATAAAAAATATTCCAAAAATTCTCCAATTCTCTAATCTAGGTAGTCTTAAAAACTGTAAAATAAATAGATAAGGTATACATCCACGCGACCATTTACTATTAATTAAAATAAGTAAATTAATAAATACATTATATCCATTTAATACTCCATATCGTATTTCTTTGCAGAGTACTTATGGACGGTGTGAAGTACTATGCCAACGAACCGACCCTTCTAGGAAAAGCTTTTCTTCGATTGGAACGAGATTTCGATTATCATGTCAACTACTGCAAAGATGAGCATTTGGCCCAAGAATTCTTGGATACTTCAGACGAGGCCTATGATTATTTTATGGTGAGTGAATAACCATTTTTGATAGAAAGATAAATGGGTGTTAGAGAAAAACGTAAATGATGCAGCTGGTGGTTCATCAGGTGATTATTTATTATAAAATAAACATAGTTTAGGTATCTAGATATACACAGCCTTTAATTACTTGGAATTTCCAATCGTGAGGTAATAATGGCGGTTGAAGCGTAAATTATTCTATATAAAACTCGGAACAATATGAAGATTTCATTATTTACAAGATTATCATGTTTATTGTTGAGAATTATCTCAAAAATGTTCTTTTTGTATAATCAGATTTAGTTGGCTCGCTTATAGTCTGTTGTACGTTTTGCGAGCAGCAGTCTAAGCATTATGTTGCTTTCATCGACCTAACAAAAGCTTTCGACTCTGTGAACAGAAATGCACTCTGGGCAATTATGAAAAAGTTCGGTGTACCCAACAAATTTCTTACAGCGTGTAAAAGCCTCCATAATAACAAAAAGTCAAGAGTGTCACATCCTTGAGCGATCCCTTCCTAACAAATACAGGAGATAGGCAGGAATGCGTCTTAGCGCCTCTCCTGTTCAACATATTCATGGCAGCGCTCTTCATTATAGTGGACAGCAAACTGCAGGAAAGAGGATATGGCATTAGATACAGATACGACGGCGGTCTGTTCAACATAAAAAGACTCGTTACTGCAGTTACAATAAATATTGAACACATATAGGGGGGGGGGGGAATACGAGGCCATGGGCCTTAAGCTGAACATCGACAAAACTAAAATCATGTGCACTCCCCCGGAAGATCACAACAATGCTATAAAAAACGGAGAAGAGCTATTGGAATATGTAAAGGAATTCTATTTCCTCGGCAGTTTGAGTTCGGAAAAGGCCAGTATCGACTCTATAATTCAGCACAGGATTAGCAGCGCTTCAAGAGCATTCTAGAAATTAAAAGACAGGGTTTTCTACAATCATGAATCGAGCACAAAAACGAAGCTTGCAGAGATCCGATCAATAATAATCCCCACCATGTTATATGGAAGCGAAACCTGGGTGCCGTATCGCCGACACCTAAACGCATTAAACAAGTTGCAACAGAGACAACTTAGACAACTTTTAAGAATCAAGTGGTCCCACCATGTCTCAAACGTATCGGTCCTTGAAAAAACTAACTGCGCAAGCATTGAAGTCATGATAACAAAATCCCGCTTAAGATGGGCTGGTCGAGTATGCAGAATGCAAGAAAGCCGCATACCAAAACCTCTGCTTTACGGTGAGCTTGTTGACGATAAGAGGAGGCCGGGTGGGCAACTCGAAAGGTACATGGATATTTTCCACGAAAACTTACAAGGGATTAATATGCAGAATGAGTGAGAAGAAGCAGCGCACAATAGAACGCAATGGAGAAGAATTGTAAACTCAGTTAACAGCGACAAGCAAAAAGTAAAGAGGCAACAAAGCAATGAGATTTTTGAATGTCCGGAGTGCGGTAGAGACATAACATCACGTATCGGGCTTTTCGGTCACAGAAAAGCTCATGAAAAAAACGCCTTGCGTGACCATCTTCTGATGCGCATTAAATACTCGTCAGCGAGTAATGGCAGTATGTATGTATGTTTTTGGTTCGTTTTGAATGAATTAATGCTTTACCAAAAATTAAGAACCTATAATAAAAATCGTGTTTTTAAGCAGCTAATTTCTGCAAATTAATAAATATTTTACGTAAAGAAATATATGAAGTAAAATTTAAGGTAACACAGTACAGAAGTACTGCTATTAGTTCAAATAAAAAATACTTAAAAATGTCTATATCTTTGTGGCGGATTCATCTCTCCAAAAAAATCCTTTATGGGTATTTCGCCACTGCACTGCAAGAAAATCTACAGGGCACAGAATACATTTTAATAACGCCAAAATTATAATGAAAGTCCGATAGCCTCTAAAAAAATAAAAGAGGCTTTTTTAAATAAATCTAATAAAAATAAATGTATTGCTCATGCATCTGTAGATGTTAGTAATGTATGGCAATCGCTTCTTTGATTCTAAAGAACATAACATAAATAAACATAACATATGTAAAATTTAAAAATAATCATACAGAAAGTTTGGGGCTTTTTGGTTTTACCTTATTAAGTAATTGTTATCAGGTAGTAATTATTGTTAATTTTGAAGTTTAACCATAGATAAAAGAAAATAATCTTCTATTAAGAAGTTTAACTTGGATATAATGTTATATATATGTCATTTTAACAGAACGTCAACGGTTTCTTGTAGACGTATCTGTTTTAAAAAAGTAGTGTTCTCGAATAGTTGAATTTAAATATTTTAAATAGTTGTTTTCTCTGTATTTTTTTTGCTTCCGACGATGGAAAGAGATAAATTTTCCGAAACGTTAAGCATTTTTTTTCTTAGGCAAATTTGTATAACTGTAAACATAACTTCTGACAAGCAGTGTCCGTTTAGGTTTAACGCAGAAGTGTTTACAAAAAATAACTATTTTATTTTGTAGATTTTCTTGCAGTGCAGTGGCGAAATACCCATAAAGGATTTTTTTAGAGAAAAAAATACTTCTGTGAGCTTTAGATAGTCGGACATTTTCTCTTTGCATACCTCACGCATTATCTTTGCATATATAAAGAATAGGTTGTTTGATATTAACAAGATGCAATAATTTTGTATCTTGTTAATTTCTTACAAGGTTGTAATATACGTATTACACATCACTCTGTCCAAAAATCACACGTGTTTATTTATAGATTCGAAAATACACAAAACTATCTGATTCAATGAACGTTCAAAGTTCGAATCTATGTATATTTGTTATTTTAATAAACTGCAGTTGTCAAACTTAAATTGTAGCAAACAACTGTAAAACTTCATGTCTTCTAATTCTTTATTTTTGTACTTTAATATGACATTTTCGAAAAATTGAAATAGTAAAACTAAATTATAATTGACATAAATTTTAATGGTCGGTAGTAAACTTCCAACTAAAAAGAAAAGTAAGTATATAGATAATTTTGAAATTGATATTTTCTTCTTTTTTATTAAATTCTTTTTTATTAAAAATAATAATTAGTAAAAAAACTTGTTTGCAGCAAAAAGCTGAAAATTTAGTTTCTAAACAAACAATGTTTTATATTTCATCTAACTACAAGTCTTTGATTATTTTTCTTCTTTTTTTAATAATTAATAGGTAGATAATAGATTTGAAAATACGGAAAATATTGACGCAATCGACTTTCACAAAATCAGTCAAACATATGACGTAATTCATATTAATGATTTGCTTGGAATAAACTTATATTTTGCCATCCAACACCTGTTAAGTGATGAAGAAATTTTGATGAAAACTTAAAAGCATAAATACTGGCTAGTATACACGGTCGGCAAAGACTGGCTTTGGGTGTCGATTTTGCGTTCAGTACAACAGCACAATAAGTTTTACGGAACAAAAAGAGAAGAGCAAGTATTTTTCCAAGTGTATGAAATAAAGCGTCGGATTCAGTGGAGACAAAAAAATCTAGAAACGGATCCTAGAGATCCTTTTCTAGATTTGTTATTAATAACTGCGCAGCTACATCCAAACACTATAGCTACAGCTACATCGGTTCCCGATAGATCACCGAAGTTAAGCGACGTTAGACGATGCGAGTGGATGAATGGTTAACCGCGTGGGAACTTTGTCGTGCTATTGTTCCATGGCAAAAGTGTAAAATCTATTGATACGCACTGCTCATTCACGCCGCTTCGAGGCCGGATGAGATCGGATATCTCGTAAGAGTCGATGTTCAGATTAGCCTTAGCTTCTTACGAAATTGCCTTTACTACAAATAGAAAATTAGTATGGATTACAGGTTTTTTGAAAAAAAATACGTTTAATCTGTTCTACTTTTAATTTGCCAATACCATTAATCTTTGCCAATAGCCACAGTATTGATTTCAAATATAGGTTACACGTTATTAAGCATTTAAAAATAGTAGGTCCTCCAAAATTAAATGTATTTTTTCTTAAAATATATTATTTCTTTTGGATAGCTTGATTTTCTAGATATTTGAAAAACTTAAGAAAAAATAGGTTTCTTTTATCGAGAACTAGCCCTGAAAATATTTGCGTTTATTTAAGAAACACCTTGTATAATAAATATATGACATCACAAAAGTAAATTTTTACTAAAATTAATGTTAAATTTTTATTCATGACGATGTAAACCATTTTAATTAGGGAATTTAAGTAAACGAAAATTTTCAAACAGTGAAAAAATAGCAAACAAAACTTCTCGTGTATGTTATTATACAGTGCGGTCTTTATTTTCTTAATTTTTTAGATGTTTAGGATATCTGCAGTTTACCATTAAATATTATTTACTGTTACAGCACATTTTGATATGTATATAAGCAATAATTTGAGGTATTTTATACTTTAGAAACCTATTTGGACTAATGTTAATAATAATATATGTATTGTTACGGATTTCGTGGGTCCTTAATTCAAACACACATGCTAAAACACTCAATTAATTTATCTTACGACTATAAACGCAATAACTAATTAAATGCAACACATTAATAACTCTTTGTCCGATGTTTGTACCTCCTTCACCATTTAGTTGACAATTTGCTTATTTCAAAACTCTATTCAAAAGTAGCTTACTATCGAGCGCGGGAATTGCTTTAAATACTGAAGGGGATGTTCCATTCCGGAACGTTCTTTTTTTTTCTAAAAATGTCTTTCTTTTTGTTTCAAGAAATGGCGCGCCATTCGAATCTTACATCAGTACGCTTTAGATACAGTTGTTTCCCAATAGATGTTTCCATGCTCCTTGACATTGTCCCTTTCTTAATTCGTATCTCTTCAATTGGTCCAGATGAACTACTTTCATCTTACTTCTAGGACTGCGTTGTGAATCCACTACACAACATCATTTATTCTCTTGATGACTGTATAAGGACCTTCCCATTCTGGAGGTAGCTTTGGAGACCTCTCTTTCTTGCGCTGCGGGTTATACAGCCATACCA